CGGAGGAAGCTCACCTCTACCGACCCCATTAGCCAGGAGGTGCTGGCTGAATTAGACCAGGAGCTTCGCCTCACGGCGGTTGCATTGGGCGATAGAGCCACGCGAAGCAAGGCGATGAGCGACACCATGCTCAACGGTCTCCTGGACCAATATTCCGAGCGCCTGGTCGCCATGCTGGATGAGAAACTCCGGCTCACGTACCGGTCTCCCTCGGATCAGGAACTGGAGTCTCCTGGAAAACGACCTAGATCGTCAGGAGGCGAGTCTAGTAACGGCTCCTCATAATCCAACCAACCCCCCTTCAACCTCAAAAGACATTCACTTTTTCATAATGTGTATTCTTCATTTGTATACCACCAACACCGGAAGGGAGGGCAGCGTGGAAGGCGGGCGTCTCATTTCTACGGACTTAGGCGCAAAAGGGGTTGGGAGCGGGAAGCGGAAAGCGGGGAGAAAAGGGGAAGGAAAGGAAGCACAAAGTGCGCAAAATCATTGGCTGCGCCCGGCGTTCAGGAACAAACCACATTATTTTTATCTCTTCTTACTCTTTTATCGTCATCATCACCACTATCACATCAATCATCACTCATCACTCTAGGAAAAAAAGCCCGTCTGGGAGAGCAGACTTGGTTGGGTTGGGCTGGCTGGGGAAGGGAGGTTCACACACACACGGCGTTTTTTGTAAGGAATATTGGGAACCTTTTATTTATCAGTCAGCTTTAAACGACTACTCAACATGATACCACTTGGAGGGAGGGGAGGGAAGGGGGGGCAGATGGGCACCACCGGAGTTTTAACAGGAATTACAAAGGTAGATATAGCAGCAGCAGCGCTTAGGCCTAGCTTACTTAGGCTTGGGCTTAGGGATAGGGAAAGGGAAAGGGAAAGGGGGGAAAGGTCCAGAACCTGTCACTGTAATCGGAGAGCTGCTTTGTCTAAACCCAATTGATTTCGCCTACTAGATAGGTAGGCTTCGCGGATGATGATGAATATAGAATAGCTCTTGCTTTGTTCCAACGTGTTTCGTACCTATATGCATATTGTGATATCGTTCGCGTGGATTTCCCGCCTCAGCTTAGAAGTATCTAGAGAATGCACATTTTTTGACACGAGCGGTAACTAGCTAGAGTCTACAATCCAACACCATTCTTCGATTATATCTAAGTAATATACTCGATCCGTCCCACCAGTCTGGTTAGATCGAGGCGCAGATATCTATCTATTCATTCATTCAGCCATCCAGCCAGCCCAGGCACATGGCACACGTCCTGAACACAAAAAAAAGACGTGCGCTTTATCCTATACTCTCTCTCTCCCTCTCATTTACTTTTTGCGATTCGATGGAGTCCGCCACCGCCACGCCAATGCCCAATGTCTTTTTTCTTTTCGTAGTCCGTACACATTACACACGTACACAGGGGGGGACATACACACATAGGGGAGAGCACATGATATTTCCGTTCCTTTTCCCGTGCTCTTGCTCTTTTTGTTTATACTACCAGACCCTCCTGGGTCTCGTCCCTCTCGAGACGCTCCAGTCCGTTACACACGGCGCCGTAGACGGTCAGGGGCACGGCGACCTCGAAGCTCTCGCACTCGAGGGTCTCGGCAGCGACGAGCACGAGCCCCCCGCGCTCGTCGCGCGAGATCTCCTCCAGCAGCGGGTGCGGCACGTTACCACCACTACCATTCCCGTTATTATCCGCGGTCTGCGAGTCCGAGGCCGAGTCCGGGAAGTCGTTCGTGGAGGCGGACGCGGAGTTCGAGGGCACGACGAACTCGACGCGGATCTTCCAGTCCAGGCTCAGGCCGCTCGTGACGAACTCGGGCGTGGCCTGGATGGGGATGGTGGGGTTGAAGACGACGCGGCGCGCGAACAGCGTCGCCTCGCTCGAGCTGCCGTACACCTTGCGCGTGACGCGGTGGACGCTGGCCTCGCTGCGCAGCGCGAGCGTCGGCTCGACGCGCTCCGACGTCTCGAGCGCCGCGTGGATCGCGTAGCACGGGATCTCGGCCCCCGTGAAGTCGATCGCCATCGTCACCGTCTCGCCGAGCCGGTACGCCGGCCGCGCCAGCATGACCACGCCCACGCGCTGCCCGTTGCGCGCGATCTCGAAGCGGTTGCTGCTCTGCCCGGACTCGGACGAGAGGTTCGAGCGCATGATGGCTAGATCGATCGCTTCCTTGGCCGAGGCGGCTTCTTCGAAGGCGGACGTTCGTCGGGATTGCGAGGCCGTTGCGGTTGGGGATAGAAGCCCCATGCCGTGTTGGGGCCGGTCAAGAAGCTCTTCCACGTAGTTTATGAAGTTGTTGATGGTAGAATGGGGCTTGTCATGTATGCTCTTCAAATTCGAGGAGCTCGCATCAGCTAGTTTGTCAAGCAATTGCACCCTTGCAAGGTCGCGAAGGATGATATAGGGCGAAAGCAAATCGTGGCCCAGAATTTCGCCATGGCTATTGACGCTCCCAAGGACGCGGAAGGGGACGTCAACGGATCGTACTTGTTGCTCTTTAGTACCACCGGGCCTCTGTGTACCGATCACCAAGCTGTAGGATATCTTCATAGCTTTGCCCTTATGTGTCGGAGGGAGGCCTTTCGGCAATTTGAATGAATATTCATAAGTCTTGCTCTCGCCAGGAGCTAGTTGCAAATCCACGAAAAGTATCGACTGCGGCGTGGATAATAGAGGGATAGACTTAGAACTTGCGACGCCGCGCATCTGTTTGATACTGCTAAGCTCGCCGCCGCCCAGTAATTCCCCAATGGAGTTACTCAAAGTCCCCCAGCCAAAGCCCGTCAGGAGCCCGCTACCCCTTCTAGAGGCCTCGACTCCAATGACACCGCCTCCTTGGCCGCCAAGCACCGCTTTTCGCTTGACTGCTTCGAAGGGGCCAAGATTAATTAAAGACCCATCCAGCGTAAAAGAGCCCTGGACTTGGGCGTAGCCCATCATCAACGACTCCGGCAGCCTCGTCTGACTTATTCCCGACATGACAGAGCTCCGTCGAAGATGCGCCGGCCTCCGCCCGTTCTGCAATGGATTTGTCACATATTCTGATGCCAAAGTCTCGGATGAGTTGTTGCTCATTGAGTAGAACTCGCCGCTGCTCCTAGGTGTGCCACCGGCGACACTCGTTGTCGATAAAATGCGTGCCGCGGGCGCTGGCTGTTCGGTGATGGTCGGTATCGGGTCCTTCGAGCGCACCGGCAGACTGATGGGTGGCCCCAGCATAGCTGTCCCCGTCGTAGGTGTCGTTAAATAATCGTAAGATTGTGTTTTAGATGAATCGTTGGAGGCATCTGAGAGTGGCGACGGAGCCATTGGAAACTTGAAATCCGGTATCGCCCCCGAGCCCCTCCTTGGGGAGTGCAGTGTGGCAAGACCGGGGGTATTCGGCACGGTTGAAGCTCCTGAGCCCCCGAAGCCATGTCTCGACGGAGGGAAAGAATGGTTGTTGAAGACAGGAGAGCTGTCTGAACCGAAAGGCCGCCGCGGCAACGCAGCTGAGTGCGGCCCGTTCATTGTGCCGCCTCGCGGTGATATCTGCAAGCTTGCGGACCTTCCATGGCCACGACCCGACCTCTGCGATCGTGCCGAGCCCGGCGTCGAGAGCGATTGGTCTTCAATGGTAGCTGCCGACCCTATCGACACGATGGAGAGCGATCGCTTGTGAGTGTGGCCGGATCGCTGCGGCGTTGGTTGCGAAGGAGGAGGCCACTGTGGCGGGCCTCCCCTTAACCGCGAGCTGCTCGAGGGCACCGTCAGGGACAAGGTCGAACGATGTCCCCGGCTGGTTCCTGGAGGTGTCAGCCCATTGTTGTTGTTGTTGGGCTTGAATCCCCTCGGGCTCAGTAAAGGCGACGACCGTGAGCGTTCGACCTGCGGGGATTGCGGGTGTTGGTGTTGGTGTTGGTTCGAAACAGATCTGGTCTGGTTCGGGCCGGGAGCGACATTCTTGAAAGTTACGCGGCACTTGATGTCCTCGCCGGCAAAGACAGTCTGGTCTTCCCATTTTATGAAGACTCGGATATTGCTCGACCCCCCTTCAGACGGCATGATGGCACTCCTTCCAATTGAAGGAGACTAGTCATGTATGCAGCCACATCATCATCTTTGTACGTAGGTAGTGGACAGCGTAGTCGGATTAGGAAAACGAGATCGCCGTTCGGGGCTGTCGAAGCGGGCGACTATTTGATGGGGCAGGATATGTAGATCGATGCGCTCGGGGGGCGAGGCTATTATGTAGGTATATGTATAGATGGATTGTGCATTCACGTGAGATTTGGAACTTATAGTATCAAGCTTCGTCGGGTGGGAACTAATATATTCGCACGACTCTAGTAAAAGATGGATTTCGTCATGAGGTAAAGCTCTTGGTAGCGTCGCGACATGGTAGACGATAGACAGTTGTCAATGGAGTGCTGGGACTTGTAGCGCTGTGCAGTACCTGGATAAGGATACCTCAAGCAGCTAATTGCATGTAATAGCTGGTCAATGCATATGGGGTGGATCCGGACCATTGCGCGGCCCAGGCAAAACTTTATCTCCGGCCCGCCGCCCCTAGGTACCTACAATGACCTTGGCAGGCTGCTAAGAGCTGCATGTACCGTATAACCAACCCCTGAACCCACGTCAGCCAATCATATAGCTCCAGCCTCTTACTACTTTCCCCTTCTATCTTTACTTTATACTACTGCCTCTTCCCATACATTTGATAGTCTACCATCTAAATCCTTTTCATAGCTCTGGCAGTCCTGTTAGCCGGCTTGTCAAAATCTTAAGCCGTTTGCATCTTTCTCATAACTCTAATATTTCTTGAACTGTTAAGTAAGTCTCCGAGGCCAGCTCCTCCGAAGTGGAACTAGCTCTGCATATACATAGTAAGCTTGCAGCTAAGTGGCGTAACTTGCAACTTGCAACAGCAAATAGAAAAAGAGTAGGACAAAAAGAAACTTTCAAAAATTTTGATCCTTCTAGTGAAGACCACCATTCATCTGCTGGACAATCAGGGGATTGAACCCTGGGCCTTTCGCAGTTCATGATACATGAGACATAGTGGCCTCGATGCAAAGCGAACGCTCTACCACTGAGCTAATTGCCCACTTTGAGCCATGAGGGCCGATGGAGATGGATGAGGTGGAATCTGTGGGGCTCCACGGAATCTTTTCTGCAGTATTGGCATTCATATGAGACTATAAAGTCGAAGATAGGAGGAGAGTCGACGAATGTATAGAGGTAAAGTTGTCAATGTCGTGGCTCACACACGACTTAGGTGGCGATACAATACCGTAAGATACATAGGTTTCAGAGTTCATTGAGTAGGAATTTCGAATGTTAAGTCAAAAGACGTGGTGAGCATACCTAGGGCAAAGCTAAGGACTCTTTTAAGGCAAAGATGCGAATGCTAAGGTACGTATCGTCTCTGGAGTTTGAATTATTATGAGTGCGGAATCAGGGTTGGGGCTCTTTCAGGGAATGTTGCTTAAATAACACGTCTTTTTATGATGGAATATGAATGTCTGCTTCTCGCTCTACAATAGGAAGCTTCTGAATGAGAGGCTACCAGCAAGGGCAATATTGCATAACACAGAGATGTGACGAGCGCGGCATACGGATCTATATATACGTATCTTATGCCATCAAATATATTTCATTTTTGTGCCACCGATAAACATGAGGATGCTGAGAGCAATACATTGTAGCCCCTAAAGACCACATAACTATAGGAAGCACCTTGTATATCTGGATTGTCTTGATAAACTTCGGTATAAGGCCACTATTTAATACCTTCTTGCGGCAATACAATGAGATATATAGGTTGGGCGAGTGCTTCATCCTTCTGTTAGAAATTACAGGCAAATTGGTACAGGTAGAAGCATTGCTTCTTTATACTAATACTACTAAAGCACTCCTGTTGGAAGTTATTGTTGCACATATTATACGTTCAAATATTCCCGTCAGGCTACAGTAGCCCAACATGGAACTTTATCAGGTAGATATAAACAGTGTCTCTTGCTCCTAGTACCCAGGAGATCTTTGAGAATGCCTCTTAGAAGAACTTGGCCTGTAGCGATCTTAACTGCTCTCTCTGGAGCACGCACGATTAGGAGCAGATGCCATATTGATCGCCAGTAGCACCGATATCTGATCAACCGTCTTCCCTCGATGTCCACTTGTACTCGGAATACTTTATATACATTACTGCAACAGCCCAGGCCCAGTTCTTTATTCACAACCTTCATCCTACTGATTCATCAGAATCCAAACGCTACACTTTCTTCCTTCCTTTATCATCCCAGGTATTTCAACTCATCCTGTTTATGGCAAAACCTTGCGATCTACAACGTTCCCCTTCCAACCTTCTCCCGACTCATCTTATGATCAATACTTTTCAGTCTTTCCCCTCCCTCGATCCTACCTCATATCACATCGATTAACACATTAATAACAATCATCTAAGACCTCCTCAGCATCAAGGCGGCTGTACTCTGCCCTTTCCCTCATCGTTCATTAGTGGAGGCACTTCATCCCATCTCCACTTCCGCCGTCTGATCTATAAGGGCTTCCTTTCCAACTTTCTCCAGCTCTCCTCACCTCCTTCACCTTCCTGCCTCACCTTCCACATATCTACATACTACATCATCACTCAACACCACAATGGCAATCATCCAAGGTGTCCCTGGTATTGAGGTGACTGTTCGGGTAGAAGGTATCGAGGTCATAGAACTCAGTCACCCGGAGGCCACAGACGTTTCTCAGCGTCGCACAGACGGCACGAAATCAGTGAACAAGTACATTGAATGTGTTGGGGGTGCCCACTTCGGTGTCCATGTCGCGGTATTCCAGGAGTATGCGTGGGGTCACAGAAACCACTCCCTCAACATCGCCCTCTTCCTTGACGGGAAGTGGGCCAAAGGCGAGTACTGTCGGGAGTGGAACACTCACCTAGGGGTCTGGGAGCAGGTCATGACACATCGTGTCACCCGAAATCGCTCTGGAGACTTCGTTGAGCAAGCCTTCCAATTTGCCAAAGTAAACAAGGGTGAGTCCCTTCACTTTAACCTAATATGCCGTTCATGCCCATCGCGAACTGACATCAACGTACACTATAGTCGAGGACGTTGACACAGAGCAGCATGAGCATGATCTCAAACGCGTTAAACGCATGGGCAGTATTGAGGTCAGGGTGTACAGAGCAATTGAACATGCTGCAGACGATGAATTCCGCCCAGAGGGACCCACGCCCGTCGATTTTGGAGTCTCTGCCAAAGCCCTGAAGGGCAAGACAATATCCCACGGTGCTGGGTAAGATCTCATTTCTGGATCTGAGAGCACCCTTTTCATGCATGGATTGCTAGGCTTACTTATATAACTTAGATATTCTACTCCGGTGCAGACCAACAGGCCTCGCTACGTAGGTTGCACAAATTTGCAGGAGGACAACGGTCCGATTGCCATCTTCCGCTTTCTCTACCGCTCGAGAGGTGAGTCATTTCGTTCATCTTACTCTACGAGTCCTAATAAATCTGACTAAATTTGTCTATAGAAGGATTAATGCAGGAGGGAATTCTTCGCCGTCCCAGTCCTGAAACTCTCCTGGTAGAGACGGAGGCACCGATGCCGATATCAATAGAGACACCGTCGCCGACACCGGCACCGGCACAGAAACCAGTACCGGCAAAAACGACACTGGAAGGGCTCTCGCAAGGACAGATCAGGGCCCTTGCATTAGAGAAGCTACAAGAGGTAAGCGAATAGGTGTCACCGCACACCAAGGTCTACTTCCTCGATAGGAGTATATGGGAGTACTAAATGGAGACCAGCAGGGTACTCCTATCGATCCTCAAATAAAGCAGGAGCAGAAGCAAAAAGTCCTAATAAAACGTGAGTTCGGTGAGATCATTGACCTAACCGAACCCGAAGAGCCCGCGAGAGCATATAAGATGTCCAAGACAGCCAATGGCAAGGACGTTATCGAGCTCGATAACGACTAATCACTCATACCTATCCAATCATATCCATGAAAATGGTGAAGCATATATGCGACATCCTAAGCCCGTTATCTGGAGTTCCGTCGTGAACTGAAGCGGAGAAGGGGAGCAATTATAAAGGTTCGTTGTTATCGTTGCTACAGACTCAACTCGATTTCTTCAGCAGAAGCACTGCAGCAAGAACTTTAGATGCAGCCGCTGCATCATGCTATACTAGAATATGACGACGCCATCCAAATGTGCAATAGAACACCATCGAGGTTCCTAACATTTATAGGTACGTCGCTATAGAAGTCATCACGGCATCGGTGAAAATTCTTAATGAAAGATTTCCCCTCTTCTTTTCAAAGTATGAATCATCGATTTACGCCTGCTATAAACGACGGTCTGGCACATATAGCCCGTGTGCACTCTACACAAAACAAAGAGCGGCATCTGGGCATTCGCAAGTCTGAAATAGCACACTCATGGTTTACTAGTATACGAAGGGCTCTTCTCCTAAAATTGGTTGTTACGATATTAGGCAAGGGAAAGAGATCTCGGTCGTTTCGGGTTTGGAAGCAATGCATATATAGTCGACTTATGCTGCGAACAACCAAGAGAAAAAACGTAGATCGGGTAGTCAACAAATATCAGCTTCCGTAAAGTCTCAATTCAGTCAAGAATTGGCCTGATAGTTTTCGCAGCAAGTCATATTGGGAAAAGCCATGACCCCTTATACTGTTAAAATGCCACCGGAACATTCTCCTCATCGCTCTGATATACCTCCATCACTATATCAGAGGTTATGGCACCTAATTTTCTCAATTTGGTCCCTACAGCTCTTCATATATTTATCAATGTGTCATGGAATTGCTTCTTCAATAAACTGTACTAATCACCTATCCAAGAGCCTTTTCGCAATTCAAACAGTAAGTCATCCAGTCATGGCTTCATCCGTCGTAATCTTCGTATCTCCGATGCTCGCATCCCTGAGGAGCTTGTACGCAGCATCAGCCGCCCTGGTGACAACCTCCTCCCTACTCACGCCCTTGCCAACTTCCGTGACCAGCTCATCGTCTACCAGCACCTTGCAGAATAGCTGCTTGGAGCCATCTTCCATCTCCCGCACTTCCGATTGGTATTTGACCTGCTTATTACGCCGGGCTACCAGATTACCCAGCCGATTCTTCGGGTGGAGCACATCGACGTTATCCGCGAGCATGCGTCGCAGGTAGGGGAGTATGCCCGCCTTCTCGGCAATCTGCGTACAGACATCCATAGACCCGCCGGAGTCTACCCATACCGCACCGAGCAGGCTTTCGAAGAAATCGGAGAAGAACTTGGGGATGCAGAGGTGGGCGAGCAGGGCCCACGGGTACTCGGAGCCGTGCCGCACGGCATCGAGAATGGCCTCCCTCTCTTTCTCGTGTCTCTCCTCCGTGGCCCGCTGCGCGGCGCCTATCTCGGTTGACGCGTGTCGCATGAACTTCCAGAAGGGGAACTGAGTCTGGGTCTCGACGGTGGATTTGTTAGTCGATATAGTTGTGGCTTCTTGCGCGACTGACCACTCCATCTCTAGGAAGCCCAGGATATCTGCATTGACCGAGGCGGCTCGGAGCAGATGCATCTCGTAATGTACCAATTCTCGCTTGTCGTAAGACCACAAGACAGAGGTGATAATGCTGTCGAGGACGGCATCGCCGACGAACTCAAGCCGTTCCATGCAAGCAACTGTCCAGGGGGTTAAATTGAAAGAGGAATGCGTGGTTGCTTCAAGAAGTAAATTCTTGTTGCGGAAAGAATAGCCGATCAGCTGCTCCAATGGTTCTAAGACTGGCGACAGGTGCGTGCTCATTTGGGTTTGATCGAACAGGATACGGCAAGCAGAGTCGAGATCGCGCCATTCGACATCGGGGATGAATAGTCGGAGGCAGGTCAGGGCTTTCGGCATGCCACCATCCACCAGCGCGGCTCCGATCAGGGCCTCGACTACATCAGCAATTGTCTTCGTCGACAGCTCCCGCGTGCCACCTGATCCTGCCTCGGCCTGGGCGAGGTCATCGATATAAAGAGGTCGCCATTCTCGGCCGTTGAACCTCTGGGATAGGATAAATTTATCCAAGCCCGT